GGGAAAGAAACTGGGAGAAGCAGGAGGGGTCTGAATACCCTAGAAACATGAGTTTTGATAATGGTTTTGAGAGAGACAAAGAAAGAGAATGATCTCAATTCAGGATATATATCTAAGCCATGGAAAATGCTGGGAATCCCAGACTTAGGATCAAAAGACATAAGGAATATCCAGCTGCAAAGTGGTCCTTACTAAAGAGAAAACAGCTTTATAGTCCAAAAACAGCTTATCAGCACCTGGAGTCAAGGCATTTGCTTAAGCTGTAACCATGACCATTTGCTTTTGGCCCTCATTTTCATTTCCCGCTTCCCACAGGGAGCTGATCCTTGAAAACTACATTTCCCAGGTGCCCTTGCCAGCTGGCTTCTAGGTATGTTCAGCCAATAAGAGGCAGGAAAGGGAAGGAGAAGGCAGAGTATTTCTCCCCGTCCCTCCCCCTCAGTTTCTGGTGGCACCTCCAGCTGAAACTGTATCTTCTCCATGAGTCTACTTTCTGCCAGCGGCCCAATTTCAGAGCTTTTGAAAGCCTCCTCTTCCCTTAGTCCCTCCAGCCCTGGAGGTGGTAGAAGATTCCTTCTTTTGCTAATTTCTAGCTTGTTTTACTATCCCTTATTTGACTTTTCAGCTCTTCCAACACCTTTGTAACTGCTTCCCAATATTAAATTCCCTGTATTGAGCTACCTGGCATGAACTATGATTTCCTGTCTAGACCCTGCCTGATGTAGCGTGTTAAAAAACAAACTATTAACTTATATCATTCTAGACTCTTAGATTACTCAATTTAAAACAACATTGAAAACATATTTTGCTTGCAGGGATAGATTTAATTAGAATTGCTTTATAAGCATGAAAAACTTATTTTATTAGACAATTAACATATGTAAATTATTTTAAAATTAGGGAGGAAAAAGATAACTAAAATAAAAACTCACTGCTTATCTATGACTCAAACACCCTGAGATATCCCTACTAATAATTTGCTACATTTACTTCCAGCTTATTATATTATTACATATACACCTAACTATATATCAATGTTTTAAAACATAATTTGTGTCAGATTAAATTTTTAGAAATGTCTTTAGATTTTTATGAATCTAAATCTTAAAACTCTCTATGATCTAAATTCTTTACATTTTTGTAATGTGCATTTTTACTTGAAATTATATTCCTTTCCACATCAATAAATATATGTCTATAGCAAAATTAAATGGCAGTGACAAATTCAAATGCATCATATACCTTTGTCTGGATAGATTGTGATTTATCCCCAGAATGCCTATATTTGCTGGATATTTAGAGTGCTGGATATTTAGATGTTTTCACTATTATTCATACTGCTGTGACAGACATCCTCATACATAAATCTTTTCATCCCTGCTACATAATTTCCTTGGTTATTAGTGGAATTGCTGGGGTAAGAACGTATGTATTTTAAGACTTGTACATATGGTTAAATTTTCCTCCAGAAAGCTGTAGAGATAATGATTCTTGGATGTTTCGTAAACTTTTAACCATACTAATATCAAATAGTGTTTGTAAATGTCCTGACAGCCAGAACGCTCTCATTCAATGCCTGTTATTACTGCTGGCTTATTATAATTATAATTAAATAATGGTCACAATGAAAACGGTTTCCTGGGAATCCACTGAAATGCTGACATAATTGTGGGGCTTGTGAGGTGAATCTTGTCCTAAAGTTTTGTTGACTCAAGTTAAGAACACAGTTTGGCTTGCTGCTATGAATTGTTCAGCACCAATCCCAGTCAATATGAATTCGCTCTTTTACAACAGTGTAAATCCCTGATGCATAGGCAACTATCTGTAGGCAAGATTCGGGGGGAAAGCACTTGAAATTTGGGCAGAATCATATTTGCTTCCTGAGGAAGATGAAACTTGAGACATTTAGGAAAGAGATGGGCACTTGGCTGTAAGAGAAATTCTGCTCAAGCAGAATTTCAATCATGTACTTTCAAATTATCTGGCGGGAAAATTTGAATGTGTTTGGGTTTTTTTTGTTCATAAATATGTTAAACTCAATGTTTTCAGATAGTTACTTTAGTCCTGCAGGAAAGAGTTAATGAGGTGCTCAAAAAAAGAGGGATTAGAAAGAGAGGTAACCTTGATTTCGATGTTTGATTTTACCATGGCCAATCTCATTGTTTTCATGCAAAACACACCAGAATGGGCATCATCTGATTTTAATCTCAGAAGAGGGAAGAGGAGGGGGAAAGAGGACTAGGTAAAATAATCTTACTGATCTGTTGACTGCCTCTATCTGTATTTCGGATAGGAATCTTGCAGATAACAGAAAACCCAATTCAAAGTTGGTTCAAATAAAAAAAATGTTCATGAAAAGTCCAGGTTCTAGTGAAGCCTGATTGGTTCAACAAGGCACTATAGAACAAGCTTTTCTTTGACTCTCCTCGCTGCCTCCCTCCACATCAGATGGGGGCTGGCTCTCTCCTGTGCACAAAATGGCTGCCAGCACCTCCCATTGACATCGGCTTCTCCAAGCACAGTCAATAAGGAAAGAGAACTTCTTTGTTTCTAGTTCCCCAGAAGATCTAAGAATCATGTTCCCTAGAAGCCCCGGATGAATGTCTGCTTGCACCTGACTTGCCCAAATTGGATCACATGACCATTCCTGGACCAGTCATTGCGAAGGGGGATGGGCTGCGTTGTTTGGCTTCAGCCATTCAGGACCATCCCTGCTGCTCCGACGCGAGTATCTCCTAAGGGGCAAGTGATTCGTGCGGGAGGGGTAGAAGGTCTAGTCAGGAGGGGACTGATATCGAGAGAGGTGAAAGATCCTGGTTGGGTATGAGAAAAGCAAATGTCCGTTATGCAGAAGTTTTAGAAGGTACTCCTGGATATGCTTACATACGTCCTTAGAAGTCTGTCTCTCCACCCACCTCATCCATGCCTCAAGATGAAAACTGATGGGTTTGCCATCAATTTTTACCTAAGGGGTTAAGACTCCCTGGTGTGTTGAGATGAGCAAGTTCTATTACCTATAATCCATTACTGATAATAGCTATAAAGACAAAGTTTATACACGATCCCATCACCTCATATCTAGTTTAGGGTATTCAAGGCTACCCTGGATGCTTTTCTGTATCCTATGTACTTTATTTAGTGGATGAGATGGAGCTACAGTCACATGCCTGGGCAATTGCCAGAGACCCCCCACCCTTAATCAGAGCTGCCTTGCCCAGAACAGGTCCTGGGTGATCCAAGAGAGGAATGGCTGAGAATCAGGCAACCTAGCAACAGCCCCTTCCCTCTGCTCTCCATCACCACCACCCTGCCACAAACGTCACTCAACTTTGATACAAACACCCTCCTCACCTTCCATGCTGCTCTTGAAAGGCCCAGAGCAGCGAGCATCACAGCCCGATTTAATTTTCAGAGAAAGTGGGTGATGATGGTGGCTGGGAAAACACCATGCCCCCTCCCACCGGTCCGTGTTACGATTCTGTTAGTGGGTCCCTGCCCTGCCCTCACTCTGCCTTCAAAAAGCACTCCTGGTACAGTACTACCCATCAGCCTTTGTCAAAGTTCACTTGGCCATTTATTTTTTTTCATCTTTATTCTTTGTTTATTACATAACCGATTAATGTTTATTGCACAGTAATAGGAAATTCACATAAGCTAAGAAAAAGAAAAACTGCTGGAACCCCACACCCAGAATCACTGTATTTGTGGGGGGGGGCGCGTGAGGGGATATGGATGTCTGTCATTTTTATATGTGTACATCTACACAGATCACTTTTCAAAAAACAGAACCAGAATCATGCGATACATATGACTTTATAATGTCTTCCCACTCAAAGAACTCAAACATCTCTGCTAAATCATTATGTTGTCATTACATTTCATTGCTGCATAGTATTCCATTGTTCAGGTGCACCATAATTTAACTTATCCTCTATTGCAAAGATGTATAGGTGGTTTCCAGGAGTTTGCCCTTTTAAGCAACATTCCAGTGAATAATTTTGTTGATGAATCTCTGTGCCCACACAGGGATATTCCCATAGGATGCTTGACAGCAGTATTACTAGATTCAGAGGCAGGCACACTTCTACAGTATTTAGTATGCATTGACAAATTGCCTTCAGGAAAGCCCTTGTTGTATTTTCCCACCAACTTCCTCTGAAAGCACCCCTTCTTCCCACAAGTTCTTGGCATTTCCTTTCATTAATAAAAACACCTCTAATATTGTAGGAACTAATTTCAAGACAAGATAATCCAAATAATTATCTCATTATTGTTTCACTAAACTGGGGCTGAGAAAAGTGACTTTTATATTGAAATACAGTTCATTTAACTCTCTTCTTTATGTTGACCTGGTATCAACCTTTGAGTAATGCAGTTGAGTCTCGTGAGGTTCGCCCGGTGTCTGGGCCAGCCAAATGAGCAGAGGAAAGGGAAAGAAAAACACATGAACAAAATTACCTGGATAATTCACTCATAAAATTCTTCTATGGGGGCAGTGAGACAAAAAAAACTACATTTGCATCTCCACCTTGGTGGGATTCGGCCCTCCAAATCAGCAGCCAGTGCCACCAACAGTAAAGATTATTAACATTTAATTCTTTGCTTTACTTCGAGTATGATACTAATAGTAGAAGCCTCTTTTTATCAAATGCTTGCCATAAGTCAGGAATTTGGTGATGAATTTAATCATCACAACAAGGTAGGAATCATACCCCCACTCTGCTGAAGAAACTGAGGCCCAGAGAGGCTGAACAATTTGCTCAAGGTCACACAGCCAGTCACTGGACAGAACCAGGATCAGAGCTCAGATCTGCCTGTCTCCAAAGCCCCTGCTATTTCCACTGTGCCACACTGCCCTCTTTGGGAACAATGCTGTGCTGCTCAGGACCCCTCCATCCTGGTCCAACATCCTAGATGAACACACGAGTCTCCTGCAGCCTGGCTCCATTTGTAATAGGTGCACTAACACGTTTTTCTTTTACTTCTTGGCCTCTCATCAGGTCCCAGACAAGCCAATGCGGAGCATCAAGTATATGAACAAGGAAATAGTAAACCTCAAAAAAGACCTTGCACGAAGCCGGTGAGCCAGCCCAGCAGGGAATAATCCAGAGATAAGCTGACAGGGCTGCCCAGGCTGTGGGGTGGTGCCTACAAGCCCTTGCCAAGTCCCAAGGTCCCCCAACCCTAAACATTAAGCAGAAGACTTACAAGAGGGTAACCCTGTAAGGATCCATTTCTTGGTTGGGCTTTTTGGACAACTGCCCTGCCTAGAATTCTTTCCTTCCTGGACCTGAATCCAACTTGAGAGTTTTTTTCCATATGCTCCAGAAAACTCTTCCTTTTTTTTTACTCCAGGCCCACAGCATGGCAGCCTAGAGTTAGACATGGTCTAACCCTGGCCCTGCCATCCACCAGCTGATGACACTGGAGGAGTTCACTTCCCCTGGGACCTGGAATGTTCCAAGGTGGGATCATAAATGGGCAAAGCAACCCAATGCAGAGTAAGAGGTGGAGATTCTTGTCATGCGAAACACACGATGATGTGCTAAGGGTAACACAGGCAGTGTGGAAGGTCTGTACATCATACGTGTTTCCCACTGAGCCAGACCACAGTGAGAATCACATTCACCTCCCTCATCCAGGAACTCCACCTTCTCCACAGCCCAGCCACATCTCCACCCTGCCCTGTCCGGCAGCACAGCTTGATGGGATGGGACGGCTGAGACCAAGAGGTGGTGGGAAGGTGTGGGCATGGAAGGTGGGGGCCTCAGAGAATGACAGAGTAGCTGGATACCCACTGTCCTGCAGAATCATAATGCAAGCCGTGCATATAATTTAAAATTTTTGAGTAGCCACACTAAAAAAGGTAAAAAGAAACAGGTGAAAGTAATTCTAATAATATAATTTATTTAACCCAATATTCCTAAGTGTTATTAAAAAGTATTAATGAGATACTTTATATTCTGCTTTCCATGCATGATGAAAAGTGATAAAATGATAAAGAATGAGTGAGTTACACATGGAGCACACAGCAATTCAGACCAACCACATTTCAAATGTGCAATAGCATTACGGACTAAATAGTGAACCCCCCAAAATTCACATGTTGAAGCCCTGACCCCCAATGACTGTACTTGAGATAGAACTATTAAAGAAGTAATTAAGATTAAAGGAGGTCATAAAGAAGGTCAGGCCCTACTTCAATAGGACTGGTGCTTTATTAGGAGAGAAAGAGACGTGAGGAATGCTCACACACAGAGGAAAGGTGGTGTAAGGACGCAGCAAGGAGGAACTGGGTACAAGCCAAGGAGGGCCCTCTGGAGAAGCCAGCCCCACACCCTGGTCTTGGGCTTCCAGCCTCCAGAACCGTGGGAAAATAAATTTCTGTTGCTTAAGCCACTATGTCTGTGGTATTCAGTTATGGCACCCTGAGGGGACTAATCTAATAGTCAGCACTGGGATATTTCTGCAGAGACTGTCCCCAGCTTGAGGGAGCTGCCGGAGGTCAGTCTCAGAGTCTGCATGCTTGGAGTTGGCATGTGAGTGGGGCTGTCCGAAATGAGGGCTGGGCCCCGTAAGGCCCCCTCTGTTAAATGTGAACATATTGGCCTCTACATGGTTTGAACCCAGGCTAGAGGGCTTTGGAGGCTAATGTCTGGGTAACCTTGGGGCCCTAGGGTCTGGTGAGAGGTGGGGTCAGGAAGCCAAGAGTTCTCTGAATGGGGGCAGTGTCCATGGCAGGCAGCAAAGAAGAGGATTTCACAGCTGACGGTGAGCTCCCCCACAGGGATTGTTCTGTGCTCCACAGTTGTGACTGGAGGATATGCCAGGCTTCAGAGGGAATGTTCTTGGCTTCAGAATGAATGGGGTGCAGCAGGGAAATTGCATCAGAGGTGAGGTTCAAACTACAGAACATCTGTATGTCACGGGCACCAATCAAGCAGAAGAGACACTGGCCATACACAACCATTATGACCATGTTGGTTCCTACCAGCTGACATTATCAGCCTTGAGGCAGATGGTTCTAACCCAGAGCCGCATCTGCAGATGCGTATCAGAATCTCTAGAGCCTGGGAAATGAGAGCTTCCACAGTAATCTGTGTACTGTAGAAAAATAGCTGATAACTAGGGGAACCAATAAGTGCCTTGATCTATGTAAGTCCCAGATATCAAGACTTGACCCAGCCCTGCTCCAGGGAGGTAACAATCATTGGTGAGCCAGCTTGTGACCAGAACCAACTGGCACATTTTCAGGAAATTCACAAGCCAATTATTAAACATAGATATTGTTAAAAATTATATAAACTTACAAGAAAATATATTATATTAAAAACAAAGGTAATAAATATTCAAAACTCATCACTTCCTGATGATTTTATACACTTCCCTGTTATCTATGCTCTTGATGTTATTTCTGGTTATAATATAATGCCTGTGTGGTGGAAATATATAACACGGGCTACCACAAATCTCCTCCCAGCTCCACGCTCACTAATACCATGTTGGTAGCTTGAAATCAGCCCTAGTGGACACATTTATGTCGAAAATCAGCAAACACAAATCAGGGCATACTTGTGCCCCCAAAGAGATGATTCTTTAATGTTCACTGGCACATCCCTGGGGACATGACCCAAAATGACCAAGGCTGAACTTCCCACTAACCCAATGAATAGAGGGTCTTGGTTAAATGATAAAGACAGTGGCTATCCTGCCACCTTTGAGTTGGCAAGCTAAGCCTGTCACTCTTGCCAGACACATTTACCATGCAATGCATGGCTCTGAAACTAGCTAGAATTTAACATTCTCATCAGTCAGGCTTAGCCTGTCCAAGTGCTGGACATGAAGGAGAATGTGGAAAAGGCCAGACAGAAAAGCCACAAGCAAAGAAGCAAGAAATGACAATAAAATGTTCCATATGGCCACACTCCAGGATCCCACTGACATTTAAGGAACTAGCAGGTCCCCGTCAGAAGGAAACACCCTGTTTTCCAAGGGAAATCATCTGTCTAAGAGATGCCAACCCAGTGGCCCCGTCTCCCAGGATTAAATGCTGTGAATTATTAGCAAAGAAGATGTTGTCTTTTCCACTTAACTGTTTGTCAAATCTGCTTCACCTCCTACTAGAATCTAGCCCACCTTGAGCCAAACACCTTGACTACCTCCCAGATTTTTATTTAATACTTCAGCCCTCTTGTAATTCAACTGCACCATCTCTGGTCTCATGGCCAGTTTAACATAGTATCAGAAAGAATAAAAACCTAACTGCTCTCCTCCTTGCCTCTTTCACCAGATGTTTGGTGGTACTAAGGAGCATGCCACGCACTTACTTGTGGAACTTCTCCTAGTAGAAGTTGGCAATCAGGGCACCTGCATGTGCCCAGTTCTTGGTTGACTCTTGGAGCTGATGACATCTTCCCCTAAAGCTGCTGGTGCTTTTTATTATGAGTGCTTTAGGGGAAATAAACATCTCTGCAACTAATAACTGAAATGTTGAAACCTGTAGCCACAATTTACCCGTGGCAAAGTTTGCTTAGGTACAGGCAATTGCAAATAAACAGTAATGAATTAAACCTCTCCCCCAGCAGATCCCAGCAGGATGCTTATGCAAGTCTTTATGAAGTTGGGAGACTTTCTAGTGGCATTGGGTGGCCAGCTGAAGTGAGGCAATTAGAAATAGCAAAGGTGGAATTGGGGCAAAGGAAGAGGCCTCTTTTCATCTGATGTTAGGCCATTGGGCTCCCCCTCAGTTTTCTGTGCTCATTCATTTTCTTCAACAAATACTTATTGAGTATCAGGTATCGCCAGATATGCACCAGGCATCACGGGATGTATTGGAGATTCAGCAGTAAACAAAACAGACAAAATTCCTGTCCTCACTGAATGAGACACAAGGATGTGTGTAAAATGGGATAAAAACAACATAGAAGTCAGCAGGCAAATAAACAGGATTGGGGTGAAGGGATGCTGGCTATCTACTATAAAGAACATAAAACAAGGTGTGGTGTATACCTTGGTGATGGGGAGAAAGCTGCTACTTAAGCTAGAGTGGTTAGAAGAGGCCACCCTGGAAAGAGGACCCTGGACCTGATATCTGAATGATAAGAAAGAACCATTCACGTAAAGATAAAGGGTGTGGGGGTGGGAAGGGGGAGAGAGGTGGAGTATTTCAGAGAACACCAGGTGGATGGGTGCTAAAGTTGGAGCAAATGTTAGAGAAAGCTGGAAAAATGTTAGAGAAACAGAAAGGCGGCCAGTGTGGTTGGAGCAGACTGGAGAGGGTGAGAGATTGGTAGGTGAAATCAGAGAGACAGGCAGGAAAGGGCTGGATTGCACAAGGCCTCAGGACTCATGGGCCCTGGAGAGAAGTGTCGGCTTTAGCCTAAATGCAATGAGGACCCACTGGAATGTCCTGAACAAGAGAAGGATGCGATCTGATTTTGAAAAGAGCATTCCATGTGCTGCCTAGAGACCAGTTGGGAGCCTGTGGTAAGAGATACCAATGGCTTGGGTCAGGCAGATAGCAGTGAACTGGACAGAAGTGGATGGATTCAGGATTTAGGAGTCCCAGGACTGTCAAATGGATTGGATATGGAGATGAAGGAAAAGGCAGGAACCATGTGCTACAATGACTTATTTTTATCTCTGCTTCCCTCACTAGATACGGGCTTGAACTATATCGTGGTCACTGTCATGGTCCCTGAGTAAGTGTTTATTAGTGGGATGAATTCATTCTCTTGTCCATCCCTTAAACTTCGCAGTTAAAAATAAGGGTGAAGACCTGTATGTTAACCAAGGGGAAGTGAATAAGGGAGATGGTTTATATATAAATCTGTGGGATAAATCGGTTGATGAGATGGATCATCCCTTGCTGCCTCCATCAGGCCTTTTAGGTGAGCCTGCTGATCTCTCTCTCTTCCACTGTCAATCAAGCAGGAGTGTCCAATCTGGCTTATTGGTGAGCGGCCTCTGGCTGGAACAAGAAGGTGTTAAATTTGTCCTACAACAGAGTCAATCTGTCCTGTGAATCCCCAGGGTCTAACTCGGTGCTTGGAGTAGAAGAGGCACTCAATTCATATTTGC